TAAAAGCTATTATACTCTCTCCCAACTGATAAAACTTAGTGTTTCCAGAAATTTAACTTAATACTTTTGAAATATTTAACTGTTAGATTCAGCACTTATAATTACCCAAAACTTTTTTTTGTTTGGATAAGTAGAATCTCTTAGTTAATATGATGTATCCATTTTACTACCAAATAGAGGTTCTAGCACATGCTTTAATCACTTGTTAAATGACAACTGGAGTTGACATTGAATAATCATGCTCAGAATATGATTTTAGAAGACTTCTATTCATCTTTTGTTTGTGGTAACTTGGGCAACCAAACTTTTAAGTATGCATTAGCATGTGTGCATAACTTTTGAATGAGAAGCTTCTGTACAGCTTATATAGTACTGACTACATATGCTTCCATTTTACAGAGGTCTAGACAACCAGGGTTTAAAAGGTTTCTTGCCAAATGACATTGCTAAGCTGCAGCACTTGCAAAGCATGTAGGTCATTGTTTATGGTACAAAGTCTTGCTTCTTTTATTTTCTTTATTCTGTTTCTGAGTAACTTATATTATGATTTTCCTCGATCATTGTTATGGTATTTGTTTCATTTTACTGCAGGATAGGAGTATCTGGTGTAACTGTTCTTTTCATGTTAAATTCATTCAATCTTACTAACTTGTGTCTGCATTTGTGTTACTATTTTTGAAAGATTACCAAAATAACCAGTCACTTAACATGTTTTCTTTTTTCCTTATTTTTCTGAAGAAACTTTAGTGATAACAGCCTATATGGGGGCATTCCATCCTCTCTTGGCACAATTGCTGGATTGCAAATTTTGTAAGTTAATCTGTTTCTGCTCTCTGTCGTCAACACAAGGTGCAACCTTGTAATGCTATCTTGTATTTATTCTGAAAGCTTTGTCCCATTGGGGTTTTGTTCTTTTTCTTTTTCATCCAGTCTACTATTGGATCTAATTGGCAAGGCTTTGATGGATGGTCAACTCAGATTTCTAATATTTCAACTAGTAGTATTTTACAAGCTGATGCATGTTTAATCTTGACAGTTTACACAATGATTGCATCTTCATCTTGGCTTTAGTTATTCAATTGCTGTCTCAAAACTGGTCTACCCTATGAAGCTTCATTTCTGATCCTCTCTGATTAGAGCTATTTTGATGACATATATAAGAATGTTAACTGAGACAACGAATTGTCCTTTTTTAATATGGAAAATTGTTCTGATTTCTCCTTTACACATCAGAAAGCCTTTTGTTTCCTGAGAGGTGCCTATATTGTAATTATTTCAGTTATGTTCCTATTCTGTATGCTTAGTGAAATTGTATCTGCATTTGCAAACGTCATGTTGTCTCAAATTCTCAGCCGTGAGGTATAAAAAAGGATGACAAATGCACAAGGTTTCCATCAACATGAGTTCTAGGGAAGGTCAACATATTCAACCCTACCCTGTAAGCAAAGATGATATTTCCATGAGATATATGATAGTAATAATTAACTTGATGAGTTTATTACTTTCCAAACATTTGCATCAAGCATCTTAATCCAATCAGGTTGAGTCAAGTCAACTATGGCTATGTTCAATAATTTGATTCAATTAGCTGCAACATTATTTATTCAGAAACATAATTCTTTTATGCTTCTCTATGTAATTGCTGATTCCTATCTTACACAGATTCCAAAATTATGAAGTTAAAGTTATAAAAGGACAAAGTAGGAAATGTGGTTGGTTCCTTTCTGCATTAAGTAAATCTTGACCAGGTTAGGACTCTAGTTTTATAGGTCCATCGGCTAGAATGTGGAAAGAAACAGTAGATGCTTTTTGTTTTTGGTGCAGGAGTCCATCGTTCACAAACAAAGAAATGCATTAGTTGCTAATTATATGTACTTCCTTGTAGGGACCTCTCCTACAACCAACTCAATGGATCAATTCCTCAGAGCCTTGGCCGGTTGATGAAATTGCAAATACTGTAGGATTGACTACTGCAATCAGATCTTTTTTAATTTTATGCAAATTATTTAATGTTGAGGTTGCTTCTTAATTTCCTTACAGGAATCTTAATGGAAATCTATTATCTGGAAGAGTTCCAGCAAACCTTGGAGGACGGCCACTTCACAGGGCTAGCTTCAAGTAAGAACAATCTCTTAAGACAATAGTTATTGGTATTTGCTTATCTAAGTCATGATTAAGATTCTCTAGTTCTGATGCAGAGGGCTGTCACTCTGTAAATAGTTTGATTACTGGTGCCTCAAGTGCAGTGCCTTTTGAAGCTGGAAACTTATTTCTTCATCTCACCAACTTTAAGTAGATTACTAAATGCTGGCTAAAAATGTGGATACCTTTAAATGGTCAATGATAGTGATTTTCAACTTCACTTGAGTTTGGAATCGGAAATCTTCTAGTTTATATGTCTCTAATATTGATTGATTGAAAAAAAAAAAGAAAGATTATTGGTGAAAAAGACATTTTTGTAAATGGAGGAAACTAATTGATTGGTCGGCCTAGAACTGTGATCCTTCTGATCCATTGCCTTTTAATACGAAGAGTGCGCTTGTCAAATTTAATTTGCATGAATTACCAATGATCAATATGTTCAATTTATTTCACAATTAGCACTGATTATGACCTATGAGACACCCTTCTAAGTGGGTCAATGATGAATGGTGAGCATTAAATACTCCCAAGTTCCAAGACAATAAATTCTAAGCTCAATCCTATCAAATTTTAAGAAAATGATTCCAGGAGATAACACCATGAAATTAAAATGTATTGTAATTTGTGCTTGACTCTTAGTAAATTGTGACTCATTAATTAGGTAATTGAGGGATTCAATATACAAAGGATCTGTACAAGGGGAAGGAAGGAAGATTAGTGAGGCATTCTAGTTTTTGAAACCTTATCAAACCTTTATGTTTCGAGCTATTAGCTCTTAATATCTCTTGAAATAGAGAGGGTTCTTTTTTTGTCTTTCCATGTCTCACTTCTTTTCTCACCTTCTCCTCTCTTCCTTTTTGTTTCACATCAATCAATCAACTACGCATGATTCCTGTTGGAATAATCCCTTACAAAACTAGTGATGGTTAGACATAGTTAGGGGTGACATGGACCACTTGATAAGCACCAGACTTGCAACAATGAACAAAAACAGCTCTTCCCTTTTTGCATTGATGCAATCATCTCTAAATGCAGCTACACTCATGATCAGCCTCATGCAGCTAGTGACTGAACAAGTAGTTTGGTTTCCGACACTGATATGCTGCCACAAGCTCTACATAGCCACTGAGACACATTCGGCTATTTATTTATTGATGAGATATGGAATTCCCTTAATTGTTATCTGATTAATGTGTGCTCCACATTATCGGGATCCTTACTGTGGAATGTGCAGTTTTACAGGTAATGCAGGTCTATGCGGAATTCCTGGATTACCTACATGTGGTCCCCATCTCTCGGTTGCCGTGAAGATTGGCATTGCTTTTGGTGCCCTGTTTGCATTGCTGCTAGTGGTCCTCTGTGTGCTGATCTGGTGGAAAAGACGGGAGAACATCCTTCGTGCCCGGAAGATTGCAGCTGGTAAATGTTGTGGATCGATAAATTCCGAAAGAGAAGACGTCACATGACGTCCTGTTCTAACCTTGTCTTAACTTATCGGCCTTGTTCTCTTGTAGCGAGGGAAGCTCCATATGCCAAAGCCCGGACACAGTTTGGGCGTGATGTTCAAATGACGAAGCACTATCGGCCACATGAAGCTCGCAACAACGCCGAGAGTGGTTCCAACTTACTCTCCTGAATCCTCAGGATTGTGTCATGTGCCAGTTCTTTGAACATGTTATTCTTTGTATTACTTTTTCTCCCTTTTGGTTGGTTTGATTAGGTTAAAGGTGTCAATGTGATGATTATGCTACTGCTACCTGTTTCCTTTCCCTCTCCTTAAGGAATAGGAGGTTGTTGTCATTGTCGTCGTTCTCGTAGTAGCCTGCTTCAGGTTTTGTTGTAGAAATTATAGAGAAAGAATGTTGGTCAAGCAGATTGTGAATAACAAGTTTCATCCTTCTTATTTTGGTGGCTTGTGGTTCCACAAGAAGGCTATTTTGTTTATCAACATTTTAGGAAAACTTGTTTGTGAGTTCACAGAACCCATTGATTCGGAGGGTACAGAGGAATGCAAATGCATATTAATGTAGAGTTTTGCTTGAGTTGATTGGAGCCAAACCGTCTATCTATCTATCTACCTAATCTATCTTGGAAACATCTAATCGAAGGGGTTCTATGGATTAATGTCGAGTCCTTGTTGTGGGTGGCGCTCTGCTGTGAGTTTCTGTCGCCGGCGAGGGACCGCAGCTACAATGATCGATGGCCGCAGTAGAAGAAGGGATGCCAGCATGTTTCATTCATGTTCTTTCCAAGCCTTTATCCTTCTCACCCACGAAACATGGCACTAGGAAACGACAACAGTATCAGCAATAAGCTGCGGTAATGTCCAGTTGTAATTTAATGTGGCAAAGTGAATCTTTCCCCATTGTGAAGCTCTCGATCAACAACGTTCGGATCTCCACACCACCATCAAACATGCACCTAATTTTTCCCCTGTTGAGCCGCCCACCACACGAACATGAGTGATCTGAGTGACACAATTAATGGAACGGATCCATTAATTTTGACTCCATCCAACCTTCCTATCCATCCATTTAGGTGGTGTTAGATAATGGATCACAAGCATTCGCGCTTCTCATCATCACAATCTGCTCCTCCTTTCTCCCACTCGGCAAAACCCTTATCATCAACAGTTCCAGAGAACGATGAAGCTACTGTGTGTTCCTTCTCCCACTCGGTTGACCCCATGGACGTCGTTTTCTCCGCTATCCGTGGACTGTAGGCACTCAGGATAGTGAGCACCGGTGCTTCATTGTCAGTAGCCACCGCTTCCTTTCTTCTTTGGTGCGACCTACTGTTCATCTCGTTCCTATATAAGGGCGTACGGGAGGGAATGGCCTCTCGCACTCTCCGGGTTCTTCTTCCTTCTCTTTTTGCTCTTCTTGGTTCGTATATATATATATGTCTTCTTTGATGTGGTTTTTGTTTTAGATCCGGAGCCTTCTTCTTGCATGGCGCTGGTGAGTCGACTCGAGGATTCAACACAGGATCAACAATGGTTATATGGCAGGTCTAATTACCATCACCGATACATTTATTCCCAGGTGTTGCATGCCACGAGAACGAACAAGAACGGGATCAAAGCACTCATTGCAGCTGAGTACAGTGGGGTTGAGATCGAGATGGCCAAGAACTTCCAAATGGGTGTATCCAACACCACTCCTGAGTTCCTTAAAATGAACCCTATAGGCAAGGTTGAGAATTGGGAAGCAAAACACTTCAAATCGCCTTAAAATTAGAGACGATAGCCCGAAACCATATGTCACTGCATTCGTTGTCTTCGGTAATCTTAATTGGTTTATGTTACTGTAGGTTCCTTTGTTGGAGACACCTGACGGTCCCATCTTCGAGAGCAATGCAATAGCTCGTTACGGTACGAATTGGCTGCATGCATAATGCCAAGTTGTAAGAGCTTAAAAGCTAATGTTTCTCGGTCTTCCAGTTGCTCGCTTGAAGGCTGACAACCCTCTTTATGGCTCTTCACTCTTCGAATATGTAAGTTTCCAGCTTACTATGGTCATAAGCTTCTCATGGACTCACGACAGTATGCATGCTTGACATCATGGTAACAGGCCCTGATCGAGCAATGGATTGACTTTGCATCCACGGAAATCGATCCTAATATCGCACAGTGGTTCTATCCAAGACATGGGCTTAAGCCTTACTTTGCTGCGGTCAGTGACATGATCATGTATACTCACTCTCATGAATCTTGTACATATATGGATACCACTAAAAGAGGGAGTGCCATTTCCTAGGCTGAGGAAGCTGCAGTGCGTGCGTTGAAGAGGGCACTGCGTGCTCTGAACACCCATCTCGCATCGAAAACTTACCTTGTCGGTCATTCAGTGACCTTGGCTGATATTATCATGGCGTGCAACTTGTATCTTGGATTCCTCTGTATCATGACCAAGAGCTTCACTGCAGAATTCCCTCATGTCGAGCGATACTACTGGACCATGGTCAACCTGCCAAACTTCCGCAAGGTGTTGGGTGAGGTGAAGCAGGCGGACGCTGTTCCACCTGTGCCGTCTCAGAAGAAGCCAGCTGAAGCTGAAGAACCGACTCGAGAACCTGTTCGGTCCAAGGTGGAAGAAGAAGTCGCGGAGAAGGTAGAAGAATTGGAGCAAGGAAATAAGTTGTACCAGTGGACCAAGGTTGACATTTCTGACGAGGGAAACAGGGAGAGTGTCAACGCCATGATCGGGGAGGAAGACGCCTTCGAAGGAGAAGCTCTACCAGATGCGAAGTGCTTCGAGTAACCTGTACTGAGTTTACCCTGTCAGTGCATGTAGACATCTCGGTCTAACCTCCTCAAGCAGAAGGTTCAAGCAATATACAAATGAAGTCGTAAAGATGAATAAGATTGATGTTGAAGCCTTTTATTCCTGTCAAAATATATGCTTTAACAGGTACCCATGACCAAGATCTGAGCCCTGGTGATGCATAAAGCACCGACAACAAACACAAGTACACAACATTACAAAATAGATACATGGTTGAGTTTTTGTTTTGTCAAACTTACGATTCAACAGACTGTTTACCAAGATCTGAGCTCATACTATGCGAGATCAGAAGCACCACCACTAGACAAATTCACCAAGACTCCTCAAGAGGGAGGGCAGATCTATGACGATGCTTTGCTAGATGTCTTGAGCACGTGAAATGTTAACCCACAGTAGTTGCAGTTCCACTTCACCACTCTCCACATTTCGGAGCCGAAGGACAACATCTTGGGCAACCGAACCATCTTTCCGAGAAATATGACTATCGTCGACTAAGCAGTTTTGCCTACTTGGTCTCACCGTTGTGATTATGGTGACATTTGGAATACCTGCCAAATCCATCTTGACAGCATCCATGAACGGCTGGATGTCAAGCTCCGCATCACCCATTATATCATCTGGTGTAAATGTGTCTTTGTCATAAACTTCCTGTAAATCCACATCAACAACAAAGTAAGAACTAGTTGTAAGACTTGATAACTCATGATTAGTAGCTTTCACTAGTCAATTTGAATGAAAATTGTATCTTTCATGATATTAAAAACGAAACTAGAAATTGAAAATTTTCTTTTGAAACTAAAAATGAAAATCCTAAAGATAAAACATGGTTTTCTTTCACAGTCCTTCAAGATTATTAAGAGAAAACAAGATAGAAAATTATGGTTGTAAATTTTGTAAGTTCACAGTTCTACACATTCATACCCCATCATTGAACCGAAGACATTCAGTATCTACCTCACACTTTTTCTTTTTTTGAGTGCCTTTGTGTACCCTTGATCTGTCTGCAAGACTCAGACTGTCTACTTGTCTTGCAGTTTTATATGCAAAAACCACATAACTGGCTAAAAGTAAAGATGTAAAGGAGGTGAGCTTGAATGACCTAGGATTATCATATGATTCACAATAAATTTCAATACCTACCATTTTATGATATATATATATATATATATATATATATATATATATATATATATATATATATATATATATATATATAGATTGCCGATATAGTTGTCTTTCTCTTCATACCCAGCCCATCTGAAATTCATATAGTTGTCTTGTCAAGCATAATTTGGACCAAATTTAAGCAGGAACCTAACACCATCAAATTGTTATTAACAAATATTTGTGCTTAATTTAAACTGAGGTCAAGTCCAAACTCGATTCAAGCTTGAACCAGATCTTCTTTAAGCATTTCCTCAACACTCCATGAAATTATAATTATGGCTTAGTTAATACCCGCAGCATAATGGCTGTCTGTAACTTCAGCTCATCCAATATTGACAAAATAACTAGCAAGAAGCTTGGCTTGCACAAACAAACCCTTCAGCACTAGAAAGCAAAATATAGAAATAATAGAATAGCAGCATATAAACGGAGAAGTGATGCTTACAAGCTTAAGTGGTTGAATGGGATCTGTGACACAAAGAGTCAGGTCTTCGTTCCACTCTGGATTTAGACAATTCTTTTTTACGCTGGTCTTCAATTTCTACTCAAATAAAAGATAATACAAAACGGAGTGAGCACCAACATATTGGATTTATGAAATCAGATATTCCATATGAATCAATTATGCGACACCGACTAAAGCAAAGAGAAATTGATAAATGGCTTTTAAATGTCAATTGAAGATGTTGCTACCTCGAAACTTTATCAAGTGGTACTAACACCATTATCCACAATAAGTTTCCATAAAATATGACAAAGTTATAGAGAACAACGTTACATGGTTAACTTCATAAACCGTGGCTTGCATGAGCAATAGCCAAGTTTTGTACATTTCACTCTCTAGCTTGCTTTTTCACATTAGTCTGAATATGTCATCTAACACAGTAGGGAGAACATGGGTATCAGATCACCTCAATCCAAACTACGTAAAATTAGCCTGTCCATGATTTTTTTTAAAAAAAATCTCATGAAAAGAACCTTTCCTTTTGTCAACTTTTGCATCTCACTGATTGCACAGTTAACTTTCTCCAAATTTTTTTTATGCCACATGAACTTTTCATAATGTTTCGACCTGTTCGCATATAAATGTTCCTCTGGCTACGTGATTCAGAGGTCCAGAGAATCTCTGACTGTAAAATCTTGCTCGAAAGTGTACAAGAGGGAATACAAAAGGCCAAGTTGAGCCCATACTCGGTTTTGGATGCCCTAAATTACTTAATCAAACATGAAGTTGACCAGCCACAATCAAGGAAGAAGAAGAAAGTGATCTTGAGAACTTGTCTCCTCTCTTAGACTGTTAATACCACACTTAAACTGACATTCTATAATGTTATCCATAGCTTTCTTTTTCTTTCTTCAAGTTTTATGGTTAAATCATAGAAGACTTAACCAATTAATCTTCAGCCCTAAAAGAAAGCTACCGAAAAAAGGATTAATAGACTTTAGTCATGCAAAATCCAGCTACACCTGATTCAGGTGAAGGAACCTTGACGACACAAGCAGGTCAGCGCCGAGTGTCGTGCCCATAGCCGGAAAATTTTCCCATAGATCACCAAAGACGGATCTTGCTGTTTTGTATTCGAGGAAAACCATCAGCAGCTCTATAATCAAAGACCAACCTTAACCAGCGGACCCCCAAAAGGAGAAAGAATCTAAAATTCGAAACCCTCTCCACACCAACAAAAGTGTCATGGTCAGAGCCAAATCAAACACCGTGGTGGCAGGCAAATCAAAGAATTAGAAGATGAGAAAGTAATGGGGGGAGGTGAGATCACCTGATCGCCCATGCGGAGGACGACGTAGGCGTCGCTGCCCCCGGCGTCCCTCGAGGCGAGGTTGACGCCCCTCTGCACCCGCACCCGTAGAAGCCCCAAGACGTTCTCCATCTGTTTCTTTTTTCTTGATCGATGATCGATGGACGGACGACTCCTGCGAGAAAGACCGAATCACGTGAGACGGCGGCGCAGGGGCGACGAGGACGACGACAACGAACGAGGGAAAGCAGTATACTTAAAGACGGTATTGTCCGAAACAGAGAAACGACTACCCGGTTCCGTCTCCGCTAATGTGGCATTTAGGCAGCTGCTTATGAAACGTGGTGCCCACAAGGGTCACTTTCTGTCTCTTCTTTCACTTTGGAGGACAATAAGAGAGACGCCTTTACGTAGACCTCATTACATTTAGATTATTCTCCATGCTAATTATAGATTATTCTCTCCTGTACGTAGACCTCATTACATTTAGATTTTTTAATTAAAAAAATTATATTAAAATTTTTATAATTATGAAAATAAATTATTTAATCTCATTTCTTATAACCTTTCTAATTTTATGAACGGAAGATAGTGCAAGCAAAAAGATAGTTTCAATAATGAGAACGGATTAATTACAAATTGCTTCATATAGTAAGACCTCTTTAGTATTTTAGTTTCTAGATTTAAAAAATTATATTAAAATTTTTATAATTATAAAATAAAATATTTAATCTTATTTACTCTAGTATTATCGGTTTTGACGATGGAAGATACAACACGTGAAAATATATGCATGAATAACATAAAAATGATGGACAAAAAAATAATTTCAATGGTGGTAACGAACGATGGCATTGCGGGTGATTGTTGTAGCGGTGGTTGACGACAATGACGCGATAGTCAATCTTATTGATGTCGATCCAAATATTAATGACGAAGAGGAACAGGAGGTAGAGCGGTGAGGTATCTACATCGACGCTACACTACTATGCCTCCTTTGGTGCCACTTTATATCTATATCAATATCGAAGGAGGAAGAGGAGGTATGTGAGGCATTTGCGTAGATGTCGTGCTTAAATTTCAAATGATCACTTCATCCAATGGCATAGTAAATTTGGGAAGGGGGTAATGGGTGGTGAGGAAAGAGAGGTTGCGAGCGAGCTCAACAAAGATACACACTTGCTTCAAGCTCTCGAGCTTTAGCTAGCACACAAATGATGCATACGTCTCGATCACAATGGCATGGTTGCTGACCTACTTCCACATTAGCTCCACTCGCGACCGAAGGGGATTTGATTGGACGACAAGAACTGATCATCGCATAAAATAGAAGCTCAAAGAGTATAGATCCAATAATATGAGAGATAATAAACCCTCATCCTCCTGTCCACTCATCTCCGACAATACGGTGGTTAGGAACAGTATAAGAATGATGGAAATGATGGATATGACGAGCGAGACGACGAAGAAATAGCAAATCGTCATATTGTGCTTAGCTTTCAGATTGGGAATTGACCTTTTGGCTAGGGTTTCGAGATCAACTTATCATATCTACTTTGTCTCCTCTTCCTCATCGTCGTCGATGTTCGGATCGATATCGACAAGGTCAACTATTACGTTATTATCATCGACCATCACCATAATAGCCACCCATGGCATCACCATCCACTACCATAATTGAAATTACATTTTTACCTATCGTTTTCATGTCATTCATGCACGTAATGTATCTTCCGTCGATAAAGCCTATAGTGTTAGGGTAAATATAGTTAAATGTTTCACTTATAGTTCACTATAAGGATTTCAATATAAAATTTTTAAGTCTAGGAACCAATATATTAAAGAGGCCCAACTACAGAAATAATCTATAATTAGTTCATTACTATCGTTGAAATTATTTTTTTGCTCATCATTTTTATGTTATTCGTACATGGGTTGTCACATGCTATATCTTATATCGATAAAGTCGATAATGTTTGGTAAATAAGATTAAATGTTTCAATTTCATAACTATAGAGATCTTAATTTAAATTTTTTAAATCTAATAATCGAAATACTAAACTAGTCTAATTACAAGAGTAATACCTATTTATCCCGACAATTGACCAGTTGAGTCGAGTATTAAAATCAATCCTCATTCCCTTGATAATAATAATTATAATAATAAATAAATAAATAAATAAAATTGGAATTGACTTCCAGTTTTATGGTATCCAGGAATATATATTTTAACCAATATGGTATATCTTAAGAATTGATGGTAATAAATACCTGATGTTGAGTTACAATGATTGTATACTTTGAGATAGAATTGTAGTCTATTCTTTATAATTGTTATAGGAAACAAAACTCTTAATTATTGTATATAAACCCAGTTTATCCAACATCCTCAGTTCTGTAATGTATCTGAGATATTGCCAGGTGACTCTTTGTTTGTCTATAATGTCCGAGAAATACTTCCAAGACTTTAATATCTGTTTTTGCAAAAAATTATCGATAGGATAATTGGTACTTTCGTTCAATTAGCAAACAATAACTCTGTGTCATCTTTTAAAGTCATCATTGTGGAGAATGATCGAAGTATTTGTGCATGTCAATCGAATTATTTTATGTAACTGCGTCCACCTTTCTTCTCATTCTTGGTGACATTTCTTAGAGATGCTGCAAGGTTCTCTGTGCAGGTTGGATCTCAATATAAAATATGAAGCAGATGACGGATAACCATTGTTGCCTGGAGCATCATTGGGTCAACTGTTCCAGAACAGGCGAGGACATGCACAACACTACCTCAACGTGCTTGCACCATTCTGCTGAAGTCAATCCTTGCAGCTTCAAATACGTGAAAGCATCCCTTGCCCGATGAGACCTCTGTTGCTGTTGTAGCATCCCTTCGACGCGCACCATGCCGGCTTACCACATAGAACAGATGAGTGCAGACTCAGAAGCAGACTATGATTCCTGCGTCGAAGAGCATTCCGATTCCAGCAAGCTCAGTTCCCCCATGGGGACGGAGAAGCAGATATCGGTGGATCCGCTATCGTTGATGCAAATGGTGAAGGCAGGCGCTGCTGCCGCCGATCTGATGACGCATCTGCCGTCTCTGCCGCCGCTCGCGCGGCCCAAGTTTGTGAGCTGCAGCCTTCCTGGTTCTGCGCTCTCCTCGCCGAAGTTCCACAAGAGTTCCAAGAAATGGAGCAATCTAACTCGCCAGCACTCGGCCGCCCTCTCTCGGTTCGCCATGGAACAGAGGATGTCCCTGCGAAGGAGCAAGTCGTGCGGGGAGGGGAGATCCTCCGCACCATCCGATGACCTCCTCGACATTTTGTCGACAAGATCGAGCACTGAGCATTCCGGTAATGAAGATTGCGTCGTCGATGAGCCCAGAGACGAGAACAGCAGCTTTGAGGATCCCAGAGAACTGCGTCGTCGTCAAGGCGAGGAGAGTGTGAAGTGTGGATGCTTGTTCTTGCCTGGCTTATCCCACAAGAAGAAACAAGTCACCTTACAGGCCTACCAAGCAGAACCCAAGGCCGAACAGGTGCAGAAATTGGAGGCCACCCAAGAAGACGAAGAAGAAGAGGCTATCGATAAGGGCAGGATTAGCACTGTCCCACGGGCGGTTTCTCTCGAGAAATTCGACTGCGGGTCTTGGACGTCGTCGTTGTCGCCCGGTTTGGGCGGTGATGTTGATGACGGTGTTCACTCCTGCTTCGACTTGCCACTGGAGTTGATCAGAAGCGGCCACAACGACACCGACTCGCCTGTCAGTGCGGCCTTCGTGTTCGACAGGGATCGCAAGGGAGTTCTGAAGAAGAGCTCGTCGAGGTTCGGCTCGAGTAAGTCGCAGGCGTCGTCGTCGAACCGCCATGTGAGATTCTCAACGTCGGGGCCCATCTCTTATCCAGCATCGCCATCCTCTACCTGCATCACGCCGCGGTTGCAGAAGGCGAGAGAGGAGTTCAACGCGCTCTTGGAGGCACAGAGCGCATAGCTTCGAGCGCAGGTGTGCATGTTGATGCAGATGAAGTAAACATTCTTATGAAGATTGCCTGTATCTCATCTGTAACCTTATGAAACATTCCTTTATCTCTGGTTATATGTATACAAATACCCCATTTAGTGTATTAACCAATCTTCATTTTCGTGCACTCTAAAACATTGGTAAATCCTTTTCAGTGCAAGTTCTCCAATCTATCTACGTAACTTCAAGTAATCCCCAGCTTCCCAGTTACTTCTTTGATGTAATTGTTCTTCAAACTTACAGCGAAGCACATCTTTATTTCCAAGTGTTTGTCTGCTGATTCATTCTCGTGTGTGAGCCAGACGGGGTCCGATCATCTTGAGCTCGAACATCCTGACTTCTCCGGCGACCGACCGCAGTGTCTCGTCGAGGACGTAGGGCGTGTTGTCGAAGAAGATCTTGGTGACGTTCAGGAGCTCCCTGCACGGGTCACGGCGCATGGCAAGGGTGCCGTGGTAGTGGAAGTACTTGATCATACCCCCTGTTTCGGAAAGGCTCGGCCCCGCTACGTTCTGCGAGAGGTGCACGCCGGTGGCGGACGCGCTCCGCGGCTGGATCGCGTACTTGTGATCCCTCCTCACCTTCCTCCGCGCGTCCCGGTACACCAGCTTCTCAATGCCCCACATCCTGCGTGCAGCACACACGAAAGCCATTGGAATCAGCATGCGAGGAGGGAGAAGATAGCGAGTACTCCGTTATAGTGTACGTCTAATAACGTGGCAGGAATAAAGCAAGCAACAAGAATTGATACGGACCAGAATGAAATGGCGGCTACCTCGAAGTCTTCCCGTAATCTTTGAATTGGCATAGCGTGTTCGACATTGGCATTTGCTCGATCGTGAACTGCGTATAGCCGGAGAACGATTCGAGCAGTGGTTCCAGTTTGGTTTCCGATGGCAGGTAGATGAACTCATCCATGTCGAAGACGAAGATCCACTTCGCCATGAACTTGTACCTATGCAAGCAATCGTTGAGCACCAGGAACTGGTTATGGTAGTAACCATCGAACCTCTCCTGCTCCCTGACGTCCTGCAAGGTCAGGAGGCCCTTCTCCATCCACGGCCTCAACACCTCCATCACGTTCCCGTGGACTCCGCCGGCGTCATGGATCACGAAGTGCGACTTCAAGCCGAAGAGATTCGCGTGATAGGCGATCCATTCCCTCACCCGCTGCGGGCTAAGGTCGCCATAGAGAGGAGATCCGCAGTAGAGGCAATCGTACTTCGGCGGTGTTGAAAACATCGTCACGTTGACGCTTCCTGGAGTTTCCTCCATCGCAATGAACCTCTCTTCCGTCTCCGCAGCCCGGTCACTACCACCGCCGGTGGTGGCACGGAGCACGAGGCACCCTCCGGTGCCATCGGCCCCGACATCAACCGAGAACGTGCAGTTCACGACGACGACGGTGTAGACGCGGCCGTAGCCCCAGTCGGGGAGGATGGTGTGACCGGAGGCAGTGACAGAGCTGTTGTCGTCGCCATGGAAGGTAAGAGGGAGCCACTCGCAGATGAACCGAGGCTTGGCGAAAACATGGAGGGGCTTCGAGGCGAGGCCGACGACCGCGAAGCTGTTCGGGCCGCCGCGGTATGCGCCCATCTGTACGAAGAGGTAAGCAGCGGATCCGACAGCGTTAAGAGCTCTCTTCACCACGGAATCAGAGGTCAGCTCTTCCTTCATCAAGCTACGAACGGCAGAAGAAACGTTATGAGGTGGTGATTGGGGCCATGACCACTTGTATGTACTGGAAGAGCAGATGGTAATCTCAGAAGGAAGAAATTGCACGATGAGTATAACCAAAGAGCAGAAAAGGACGAGGGAGACGAGAAAGAGCTTCATATCAGCATTGTTGCAGGTAACACCTGCAAATAATGTTCTCTCCCCTTTGAGCTTCTCCATCCTCATTCTCAGACTAATGGAAGCTCATCCACGACAAAACCACTCAAACATGCTTTCTTTCTTTCTGGAGTCCTTGTACTCCTTGGCTTCGGATTCCATCGAGTGAAGACGAGGAGCAAATATTACGCTCAAATCCACGACAAAGAGACATTGCAAAGCGAGAAAATGAAATGATTAACATAAATTTGGAGTAGACCTCATTATATTAATCAAGATCATAACTTTCGTCCAATTTGAGTAAGATTGAGATATTACAACAATAATTGAGAGGTAACATCAGATAAATATAAAGTTCAAATACTTCGATCACTTTTTAGAAAACAGACAAAGCATACCACTCCACACGCTTGTCAAAAAGTCACTCCAAACTCGCACAAGGGCATTACTCCACCCACTGCAACGACAAAGCTCGTCCTGTTCACAGCTCCCTCTACGAGAAGATGACAGGAGCATCCAAGAATTCATCGCTGCAGTAGAGACCCGGGCGGCGCTGCTTGTACTGTGAGATAGCCAAGAACAGCAGAGCTCACGGTAAGCTGTTATTTTCTCCTCTTTTACTCCAAAAGAGAAAAAGGAGTCACTGTTTTCACGAATTTGGAAAATATAGGATGAGAAACATTGACAAGACTAAATTCATCCAACCACGTTTAATTAATCAGGCAATGTGTATCAGCTTGCTCGAAACAGGACTAAGCTGGCTATTACTTTTGATGGAGTGATGATCCATCGTGATCTTGTGCTATCCTTCCATTCTTCACCAAAAATTCAATGAACTCAGTCTCATGGTTGCTCGATCCAAAGTTCCCTAGCTGGATTTCCTTGAGTCGATTCAGCATTCCACCGGTAAGCTCTTTTGATGTCCACCATATGTGTTCTTCAATTATGGAGTACCACACCTGTATCAGGACAATCGATGTGAAATGCCTGTTCATGTAATTGAATTCAAACAAAAACCAGGTATCTGAAACTGTTAAACTGATTGCTAAGAGTTTCATGACATGACATTACCAGCTCATTGTGTACCACCAAAATCTCCAGATCAGGCATGTGCTTCAGCATGTAGGCGATGGCTTCCATGCACTCCCTGGAGAACAAGATGTTTAATCTGAGGTACTTGAGGTTAAGAAATATAGGCAAATATTGTAGGTGTTCCTCCACAGAGAGCTGCTGGACAAACAATGGATCAAAGGTTGTCATTAGGAAACAGATTGAAGTCAGTCAGGCATATGATTCGAGGATGAATCACCAAGCAAATCTACCTGATTCCCCAGATATGTAATCGTTAGGGAGCTTGCATGTGAAAGACCCTTGAAGATCTCACTGACACTCCATGCTCGAACACTTGAATTCTGAAGACTCAGATTGAAAAGAACGATGCTTGCATCGACTAAATTGGCCATGTCGCGAATGAAGCATCCCTGTGCTTTCCCGGAAGTGTAGTGGAACGATAGAAGCTTTGGAGTTGAGATCACGACCTCGTTGTAGGCGTCGAAGATGCAGCGAGACACCGTCAGCCACTTGAGCTCGTTTGCAGTAATCTTCAGCAAGTCAAAGTAGCAATCTTCCAAGCGCAGCTCCTGAAGTACCGGGCAGCTGGAGATCAGCGTGCCCAAGGAGGACTTGCAAGACTGGATCCCCTTCAGATGCATGGTCGTCAGGCTGCCAGGACCGACGGCACCGTCGTCAAATACCACCTTCCATAGCGGCAACACCAGTTTCAGGCTGCGGAGCGACTGGCATCGGAGGAGGTAGTCCGGCACGATGCCGCTGCCATCGTCGCCACTGCCGACGGACACCTCGATCTCGACCTCCTCCACGTTCCTCTCTGCGGCGTTCTCCAGCCATCTGCGGACATAGCAACGGTCGATGTTCTCCGACACCACGAGACGGAAGGTGCTTATGGTAACGTCGGCGTCACGGGCGGCCCATGCCCCTTCCACGAGCTCCAGCAACGATTCCCGCCGGGGGAACTCCTCTTGGTAGAAGTGCAGAGAGGGGACGGCAGACCACAGGGGCCGCCACCGCGTCGACAGGACGCTGGTCCTCGCGGCCTCTCTCGTCGAGAGAAACGACAAGATTTGGTGGAGGACGGCATCCGGAAGCTCGCTGATCGTATCGCCCTTCAAGTCCGTGTCCACCATGTCCACAAAAGCCCGGAAAGCAGCGCGATTTCTACACAGAATCAATCGATCTACCATGTCTCTTCTCAAGAAAAAGAAACCGAAAGACAGAGAAAGGAAAAATCCGAGATTGCTAACCACAAAATAGATCGTCCGGCACAAGAAATCACGCTTCTCATCAGGGGTTACTTCACTAAATCTCGTTGTTTTGCTTGGAAGCGTTGCATCCAAGACGAGAAGGGGGTGATGATTTCGGCAAGAAATCGCGAGATTGCGATTGGATTCGAGAAGTAAACGAAGTGGGGGATGGTAATCAAGATTGTTACCTTCTCGCTTCGTCCCTCGCTTCGTCCTTGAGAGCCGGCCGAGGGAAGCCCTAGTAGGTATTGGCGCGGGAGAATCGTGAGCAAGAAGCCAAGAATGGGGAGATGGAGAGGAACGCGGTGGCCGGTGTGCGGCACTGGCACGGTCAGGAGTGGCGGCGTATGTATCGGACGGCTGTAAAAAGCAATCATCTTCAGGATGGTCATGTATCTGTATCGGACGGCTATGACGTCCCTTGCTCTTTAAGAAGTTGACTCGGAGTGGCAGGACTTATCGACACTGGGAACACGAATCGTAATGCAATCACAGAGATCTTGGTCATCGTAAGAGCAGCATCCTTTTCACATCAGCAGCAAAGACATTGCAGAGTAACAAGGAACAGCTGTTTGATGAAGAAAAATAGATTCAATGTGGAAACTGACTGCACTGGTCTTATTTCACAAAGTATATGACATTATATTACAACACAAACGAGCATTCAGACTTGCAAATTCTCACATATAAAGAACAGCAGTCTGCATCTGAAATTTCACACAAACCTCACAATCCTATCACAAACAAGAGGAAGTTGTGAGTAAAAGGTGGTGCAGCATATTGAACCTGAAGTATGTGGAACTAGAAGAAGGAGCGTTTGGAAGGAGCTCTGCCCACAGCTCTCATAAAGTTCGCCAGCTCGAACACCCTGGCCACCTTGGTTCCCCTCTTTGCCTCCGCCGACGCCTTCTTCTCCGCCGCCTTCTTGTGCGCATTCGCCACATCGTTCTGCATCTTCTCGATCGCCTTCGCCCGCTGCTCATCCAGCTTCCTCTGCTCATGAAAACGAAGCAAGCATGCACAAGAACAGCTGAGAGCTGCATCATATCATTCACATCATATGGTATATCGTTGATGATGGATGGTACCTCGACTTTCTTCAACCAAGCACTGGCTTTCTCGACCTGCTCGCTCTCCCACCCGTTGATGATCACCTCCTGGCGCTTGCACCGGTTGTTGATCTTGGCCACCTCCGCGGTCTGCCACGCCGATATCCTTGACTCCACCTCCTCCTTCATTACCAGGTGCACTGCGAGCTCGTCAACGGAATCGGCCGCTGCGGAGTCTCCACCCGGCGGCGGGCGGCGGGGGGACGGGATGGGATTGCTGTCGGGGACGATAGCCAGGGGGTTGGTCTCCTCCAGAGCGTCTTCCCCTATCCTCACCAGCTGGTTCTGCCCGCCATCGACGTTGTTGTTGTTGCTGCTGCTACTGTTGCTGTCGTTATGCATGGTGGAGCCGGCGACGACCATGGCGCTGAACTCCCTGCTCATAGTAGTGAAGTTCTCAACGACGGCGGCGTCACTCCTGACCGAGAGGGAGGACGATGGGTAGCTGCCGCCGTCCCAGATCTCCCTCCGGCGGCCTCGGCTGGGGTAGGAGGGGGTAGCTAGTGGGTAGATGTCGCGGAATTCGTCGTTGTCGCTGGGGCCTTCATGATCATCATCATCATCCGCTGGTGCTGCTGTAATAGTAGTGGGAGTAACAGCGTTGATGCGATGCCTTTGATCATTCAACATGTCCAGGTGAAGCGTATGCGGGGGTATGAGACCGGTATAGATATAGCAAGCGCGTCAGGTGGATAAGGAGGTGGTGGCGAGCCCGAGTGCCCATTTGTCTAGTCGGAGAGCGACAGGGAGGAGGAAGCTTCTCTCTTTGTGCAATGCATGCCATACTGAGGTGATTGATGTTTGGCGTGGCACCAACCAAACTACGTGCTTTCCCAAGTGATAACGAACAAAGTAAAATTCTATTTACACGCACACCCACCTAATCCAGCTTTCTAAGTGGATACTTTTCTTCTCCTTCACAGCTTTTGTATGAGGAGATCAGTGATTTGGATTTAGACATGCAGCCAGAGTTGGACTGCTGTCGCATAGTGCCTGATTGAACTGAGCTTAAGATTACTGTAAATGCACTGATAAAAGCAGCCTTTGTTGAGTGTAATTTGATCAGGTAGTGGTGTGCACAGTGCAGTCAACTACTGACGACCGTGCTTTGTCGGTGGAATCATTCCCCCCCCTTTAATTACCGGGACGCGTGGACGTACGAGAAGCAGAATCGACCTGTCTCTCTCTCGCTGTCTTTTCGTGGATCAGTCGACATGCACGCAGGCGATCGATGGCTGCGTTGCGGGGCGGCGGGGACTGCGACGCCATGCCCGCCTGTCGACAGACTGCACACAAGCCCGCGGACTTCCTCCCAGCTCCACAGTAGCCCCGCACAAGGACACGATGCCCCACCACCCATACCTCGACGAAAGAGAGAACGGACACATCCCTGTGACGGTAGTCACTGTTCAATGCAGGTCCACCAGCGCTGCCACAGCCGGGCAGGGTTGACGTGACCGGTTCTTCCCATGCTTCCGTTGATTGGTTCAGCAGCAGCACTGGCGAACCGCGTAAGTCGCACTCGGGATCACGAGAAGGAATCCGCCTTTGCTCGGTGTGGCCAAGGTGTCGAGAGCGTGCCATGCTTGTGAAAGCCACTCGCCTTGCCGTCCACAGGAACAGGACCAGCATTGCCCGGAAGAGACGATCGAGTTCTGCCCCTTGCCGACGCTGCCGTCAGCGTCATCGCCACTGATCCATCACATCTTGTATGCTGACCATTCTGCGGGACTCTGATTGAGGATCGCTACTGCTCGGATCGCATGATATCTCTCGGCTGGAGTCTCGTCCATTCGAGTTCATTTGCGTGCACGCTCCGGGAAACACCAGTGATAATTTTGCTCATCAAAAGAAGCAATCTTTTAGTAACTCTTGCAGCGTTCTTCAATTTATCTGATACTCTCCAGCCTCACCTAATGAGGTAGAAAATAATGATGGCCAATGATAGGGTTTATTTTGGGCCCCAGATAAGTCACCGTCGACGTCACATGCTAAGTCACAACCGATGTCAGAATCCGATACCACACGCCGTCAGAACCCCATGACACACCAAGTCAGGTTCCGTAGCAAGACACTATGTGATGCGACAATCCCGGAAGCTCGGGGTGGTGTCGTCTGATGCCGCTCAGACATTCCCCAAGACGCCAATGGGTCAGAAGTGTCGTCCCATCCCACAAGGGTCAACGACCACACCGAACCGACGTGCAACCGACCCTATCACAATAATATAAAAGTCCATAGTCGGCGTCCGACCAGGAGAGAAGAAAAAAAGAAGGCAATTAAATCCTTTACTAACTTGCTCGTCGGACGGGCCAAAGTCGGGAATCACCTGACGAAGGTCGTTTTTACAAGCAAGCGACCATCCGTGAGCGACGAGCATCTCAACCCAGGGAACGCCATCCACTGTGCAAAGAAGAGTAGTCAACCGATCCGAATCCCTACTAACGCCCACCCGCACTCCTTCCCATGGGCGCAGCCATCTCATCATCCAGCTCACTTTACAATAAGCTCCCGACATTGACCCGCGGACCTAGCCGGGCTGACTCATCAGCGATGACATATTTGTTCCCTAACAGCCAGCACAAGAGAAAACTCCTAAGATATCTATCATGCATCGCCAAGGTATCACATATTCAGCTAATTACAGAGTTTTCACAAGGCCAGAAGAACAAGATTGAAATACCAAGGCAAAAACTTCGAAACATCCAAATATGATGGTTTATCTCAGGCAAATCAACAAACACCTTATCGGCATCAAACATCTATGGAGACACAGTAAGCTACCGACATGTCTATATGTCCAATAATACAAACACCTTAAACTAAAGAAATACAACATTTAAAGGTTTCTGATCTTGAAAATATTGAACACATACGTCTCACATAAGCATAATTAGACCCTACAAAAAATCTAAAAGAAATAAGCCCATCATAGACAAGTCAAGCTGCAGACAGAGTCCACAAATGAAACCATTGAAATCAATAAAACATAAACAAGTTAATATCCCCAATCATAATCTTCAGTGCTGAATTTGCAAGATGGAAAACTCAAATTCTCGCAATCATAGACTCAATTTTCCACTTCCACTCGTCTCACATCGATTGGGAGGGGGGGTTTCTCCCTCTCCTCGTTCCTATCTCCCTCGAGGCCACCCAATGGCAGGACGTGTGCTTACTGAATCCTTTTCTTTTTCATTTACCCTTTTATCCTTCTACCTTGACTTATTTGCCCTTTTTGACTTGACGTGTCATAGCGTGTACGCTTGTGGTGGCAAGGGAAAAATTATATAGTGTCATTCAGATGGTGACACAAAAATACCACAATGGATATGTCTGGGGTAACCCAATTCTCCTATTTCATTTGAGTGTAGATTTTAACTTGTTTTTTATTTTTAATTTATCATTTTATTTTCTGGTTCAACTTATTTATCTTTTTATAATTCTGACATGAAATATTATTATATAAATAAATATATAAAGAATATCGTTGTAATTGTTTGCCTCCGACTTCGAGATTCTTCAAGAAGCCTATCACATTTCGATTGAGTTTGATATGGTCGAGTAATTGACATCTTGTATGAATATTTCTCGAGGGGGTTGGTTCATAACCAACCCGAATTCTAATCTTCTAAGAATATTCCTTTTGAAAATATTCAGTGTAGAGTCATTCAACTTAGACTTAACATTAAAGGCCTCCAACTTGGAGATTCTTCAGGAAGCCTATCACATTCTAGTTGAGTTCGATCTGATGGTCGAGGAACCAACATCTTCTATGAATATTCCTTAAGGGGGTTGGTGTTAGAAAATCTGAGACAACATCATATGCGCAACAAAAAAATAGAAAATAAAATCCTAAAATTTCCTGCAAAAAAGAAGGTTTCATCGTCATGTAAAAGTTGATGCACAAAAACCCACGAAACCGAAAAATTATGCGTAAGAGAATTACCTAGGGAGATCGTATATTCTTGAATTCCTATAAAACTATGGTATTGGATGAAGGAGTTCAAATGCCCTCCTCTCTAGTGGTGATCTACATGATAGGGGCAGTGAAGACATGTTAGGATCAAGAGCGCGGTCGACACTAAGAGGAGGAGGGGGGGTTGGGGGCTAAATTAGTGCGACGGTAAAATCACGTCTTCAAAAACTTTTGTATGATAAAATCTGTTTACGTTGAAAACAATTTTGAAAACTTAACTTGAAAAGCGTATGGAAGCGTAGTGACTAAGTAAAGCAGTTTGCAGTATGTAAATGACAACAATAGAAATGCAAACCAGATTTTAGAATGGTTCGGTCATCGTGACCTACATCCACTTCG